ACACGTGGGGACACCGCATTTCTAACATCGAGAATTTAACGAATTTCGAACTTTTCGTCTCGGCGAAAAAGTCTTCCCAGCAAGTCCAGAATCGGCTGACTCGATCGGAATCATGTGGGATTGCGAGATCAGGACGGGAACTAAGCGCAGAAAATGATTTTCCCCCAATGCGAGGGCACGAAGTATGTTCATTTCCGAGAATCACCGATCGGGGGGAGAAATTCATCAAAATTGTCGTAAAATAAAAAAAATCAATTTTTCTCTGGCAGGTGCCAGGGTGGCTGGGGGGTGCGGAAAATGTTGTAATCATAGTTCCCCGCGACTTTCGAAGTCTTACGAACATTTCCAAACCCATAACCGATCAAAATCCGGGATCGATTTTCATGGACTTTTGTCCACCTAAAATTCCATTTGGCCCCACTGTGCGACGTAACAACATTCCACTTGCTATTCCCTCTCGCTTGCAAGCGTTCGATCTCGGATCGGTTCGTATCCGAATCTGCTCTGGTCGGCACTCCAAACACAATGCCCGGAGACATTTCTATCGGCAATAATTTCATTGATTTTGTGCAAAAAAACGCCGCCTCGTTTCCGATCTCCCCTTCTGCCCTAATGTTCTTCCTGCTTATTTTCCTCGTGATCCCCCGACGCGATATCCGGAGCTCCCTCCTGAGCTTCCGGCTCATGAAATCGTCCCAGTCGGGTTCTTCGCACGGAGGCATCATCGAGCCGAAAGTCTGACGTACGGGATCGGAAATAAAATCGTTAGTGGGGGTTGGTCTTCGGGCGGCGATATGTAAGACATGGCCATCGATAGACTGAGGCATTCCGAAACCGTCGAAATTCGGCTTTTGGTGCCGAAGGTAATGATTTTGCTTTGACCAGCAGCGATGAGATCCGCTTTGGAATTTCGTGATCGCTCATCGCCGACGGGACGATACTGATTGTGAGTCACAGTCGAGCCGCCTCCGCTGAAAACAACAAAAAGACAGTCGGGAGCGCGCGGCCACGTAGTGACGTACTGGATGTCCATAGGCTCCTCACTTCCACCGTCTAGGGGACGAGCAGCTTTTCACACTGGCTACCGGGACTCTGCCTGTCCTTTTCCCGCGCTGAAGCGGCTTTGTTCCTCTATTTCTTCGACGGCGAACGCGCCAAGGTTCTTTCGTTGGGCAGAGATCTTGTAAGCGGTTTTCGCCACTTCCCGGAGGTCTAGGCCGCCACTGGCGGCGACCTGGTCGCGGACTCCTTGCGGCAAGTGGGAGAGAAAGAGATATCGGAACAGGGGATTCGTCGAGGCTTCGGAATCGGGTCGGTGAAGGCGCAACACTTCGTCTAGCAGTATCGAAGGGCTGTCGTCGCCAATCGTGAGGCTGACAAGACCCATGTGCTCATGCTGATTTATTCCGAAGGAGTCGAGGACCCTTGCCTTCAAGGCATCGTAATGGCTACCTGGATAAGGGAGATCGTCGAAGAAATCCGCGATCCCTCACTGGGTATCTGCGCCCAGGCCCTTCAATACGTAGTCGAGTTCCGTCTGGTCTTGGTAGATGCCCCTTATGTCGAACTCGGCGTCTACCGTCGTGAATCGTGAGCCACATCGAGGCTTGCTTGGGCGCGAGGCATCGAGGCGATTTCGTGAGGCGCGGTGCGTCTCGGCTCGTTCCCGCCGGAAGCTCCAAAAGCGTGTCCCCGGAGTTGTCTTGGCTCAGTTTGACGTCCGGGTCACAAACGAAGCGGTCACGAGAACTAGCTCTCTAGGAAACGCTGTCTAGTTGCAATATCGGCTCGTGCATTCGTGGATGAATTTATTCAGCTTCGTTATCGATGCGGCTCGCCCCGTTCGCGATGGCGCTGCCGGGCGGGGGCCCACGATAGACACTATACGGAGAGGAGCTCGCCTTTCGACTTCGATGCCGACCGCTCAAGCAGTCATTGGCGGTCGTCAGGAGCGTTTACCTGAGACGCTCCTTTACTGTCCCGGGAGCATGGCATGACGCAACTCCTCGCCTTCTCCCCGAATTCGGCGTAAAACCTGCAGGCTCGTGCCCCTCGATGATCAATGGTTCCCGCTTTTCCCTGGATTGGATCGAATGGCGACCGGCGTCGATTTCGTATTGCTCTTCATATGGCGGGTGGCGACGGCGTATTTCTCGTCAGCAAGCTTCGCCTACTCGCGAAGTTCGAGATCATCACAGATCACAGGCATCTACCTGATCTCGAACGTGGATTGGTAATTCCAATTCGTCGAGTTCCGTGAACGTGAACGTGGATTGGTAATTTCTCAAGGGAATGGTGATGGAAGAGAGGCTTCTTGTGGGCATTTGCATCCGGTTGATTCAGCCTCAGCATTCTGTTTAGTCGCGATGGCGGGACATGCTTTATGGTGACTAGATTGGCTAGCCGCTGGTATCTGGCAACTCTGAACGAATCCAAGACCCTTGCTCTGAATGCTTCATACCACATATGAAGGGGCCGGGAGGTCGTCGGAGAATCTGTGATTCTCTCTCGCGGGTGATGATCCAGTGCCGTCACAGCATATTCGAGTCTGGTTTGATTCTCCCTTATGTTTCTAGAGCTGATAGTGCCTCGATAGTGTTGAACCGGATGATGGCTTCATTGTTGAGTGAGGAGGAACACGTTGTCAAATGAGCGACAACAGAATGAATGATTTAGGTATTGACATTGTCGTTTCAAGTAAAAATGTCTCCTTCGCCTCGCTTGCGGACGAAGAGATGGACCCCGGCGAAGAGACAGAGACAAACTCACTTTCCACAATAAAGTTCGATGCTTGAGAATATGTACACTTTGTGGTTCGCTTTATTCAATCCATCAATTTTATTTTCCACTCTCTTACCCTATGTTGATATTGAGTGATATATCTCGACAAGTTTTTCGTCCGATTGAAACTGACACGCGGGGTTGTAGACCCTTTGCAAGATACACAATGAATTCTGGAACCGGGAATCCCCTAGGTTCTGCAACGCCGAAGAAATCCTCATCTTCATGCGTTTGCAAGAGCCCGAAGAGCCTCGTTCACAGTGGATCACAGTGGCAGTAAGCGGCACTGGATGAAAAAAGGTCGTCGATTATATGTTGGCAATTCTGCGTCGCGTCGTCATCACATAATTATCGGGAAGGACTCGGTTCGGACGGATCAAATGCTGTAGTCCGACGGATATACATAAATACGACCAATCGCCGCCCCACTCTCAGGCTCGTCTATCGTCGGGCATTTTTGTCTCCGAGGAGAGACGCTACCCTCACAATCAGAACGACGCTACCATGCGGAAGTTCGAGGCTGCGGCTCGGTGGCCGCTCCGTTCTTTGAGTGATCACAGCGACCAAATGATCATGAAGCAGCTCCGATGTTCTCGTCAGCACCGGCTCTGATTCAGAGGCAAAGTCGGCCGCATAGACGCCTCCCTCGCCGTTGCACTCGCACCGACTTCCATTCAAGCATTCGCTCACTATTTGCGCGTCTCCAGTCTATTGAAAATACAATTATGGGATGGTCGGATGCCCATTGTTGAGCACAATGAGCTCTTGGCAGCATCGTAAAGTCAGAGCTCAATCATTGCTCCATAATTTTATACATGAATAAATATGGTTTCCTTTTTTCATTTTTACAAGCGATTATGACCGCTCTCGTCAGCGCGAAACGTTGTGTGCTTTTGGCAGAATGATCTCCAGCCCCGAGAGGATTTGGCAGGTGAAAATTGCATCTGATTCGTTCGCTATTTCCGAGAAGCAAATTGTCGGAGGGGTTGAGGAGTCAGCACTTCGGCGAGGCGCTATCTGTATATGTTGGCACGCCTACTGATACATGCTATATCATAGAGAGCTCCGATAAAGCCTCAATAGGCTGATCTGGGACAAGCAGAAGGGAGTTGAATAGCCCGAACCAGGCAGCTCATGTCATGGCACGCTGCTTTGCACTTCTATCTGCTAAGCCTCTGGAGGTTTCCAGGCTAGAATCGCTCGTATACATACAGGGGGTCTCGAGAAAGGAATCCTCAGACTCATTTCTCGAGCTGTGATTCTTTCCCAACATCTCCTCTTTCCGATTCAAGTTTCGCATCCGAATTCCCGCAGCCTAACACGGCTATCGGAGGGTTCAGCTGGCGGTCAGAACCACGACGAATATATTTGTATACGTGCTCTCTGGGCTTGTACTCGGCCTTTTTCCGCGGTCACCTCATAAACCTCGTCTCACGGGTCGACCATAAACCCATCGTATTGAATGGGTTCATTCATCCCTATCGGTGGTAGTTTCGACTGCCGCGGTCTCCTGACTACTCGAGTAGATGGCGATGATATCGGGACACCAAGCGATCCTTGCCCCAGCAGATGGTCATGAGGATTCCCTCTTTCCCTAGCTGTCGCTGCTGCTGTTTCTGATCTGCTGTCCTATACGAAGAGTTGCCATACGGTCATGGGCGATCTATACATTCCGGGCGTAGACGCCTCCTGCCCGCCGAACACGTACAGGCAGAGTTGCCAGTCATGAACTTGAAACTTGTTGCTCGATGCGGGCGAATAACGTCCCCGCCCGTGATAGGAGGGGCTATGCGGGCGGTTTGAGTTGGAAGGAAAGCTGTGGGAGTTCGGACTTGGAGTCGTTTGACTATCAGTTTCTGTGGTGGTGTCGCTCTTGTCATCGCGTTCATTGTCTTCATCGTCATCCTCGTCTTCCTCCCCTTCGTTATGGAGACTCCATGATTCAGAAGAGATTCGGATGGGCGATCCCTGGACGGATTCTTCTTTGATGACCTGTATCGCTCTCGACGGTATTCCTCCGAGCCTTGTTGTCGCGATGGTCGACGAGTTTTCTTGAGTCGGTTCAGCCGTTCGCACAGAAGCTGTTGCTCTCTCTTTCAAAACGACAGCAATTCCTGGTTGGGGAGCTGCTGCGTCAGAGAAAGTGCTCAACTCTACAAGCTCATGCTCACCTCCATGTTCGGGCCTACTCATGTGACCATTACGCAAGAATGCAACTACATCAGGGTCGTCTTCAATGAATGAATAATATCCTGAGCAATGAGAGACACTGTGAGGCATTCCTGATCGACCTGAAATGGAGAAGTTTCGTCTCATATCCCGGAGTCGATTGGGATGCGGGTTCCGACTTCTCGATCGTGCTCTCTCAGAGGCACTTCGGAATGTCTGAGCCGGATGTGTTTTTTACAGGCATCGAAGCTCACCTTGAGATACCATGTTCGTGAGTTCGGACAAAGTGGAAAACGACGTAAATCGACTCGATCTAATCCTCTCCAATTCGTTGGCCGTGCTTCTCGATAGAGGAGCTGTGTTCTTTCGCAACTCAACGAGCAAATCTTCTTTACGGCGACTAATTACAACGCCAGATTCGCCATCAGTGTCCGAAGATTCGAGATCTGAGATGTGCGTAAGGGGCCCATATTGCGTTGTTTGGGCTGTGTTCGAGAAGCCGATGAGGTCTAGCTCCGAGCCTTCGGAGCCCTCTGAGCGATCACACCGACCGCTATCGCCCCCCATCGGGTTGTCTACGATTCGTGACGAGCAGTGACACGAAGAAGAGCAAAAGCCTGCTTTATGCAGTATACTGTTCGATTCTCCTGTGTGCGGGAAGTTCATACTCTTTGAGGCGTGCATCCGACGTGAGGGACGCGAGTTTGCGGGGGGTGGAGAAAGTCGCAGAGGTCGAGCCTGCATGAGATAGAGGGAATCAATTTAGTCGGACCTCCCACCGGCGGCGTGTGGAATAGACGTCCCCGCTGCTCTCAAGAGCGATTCCTAAACTCCGGGGCTGCCATGATTACCCTCCTCGAAAAGGGTTGATGTCGGATCGGCATAAATTGTGCCTCTGAGAGCAGAAAGGACTGACCTGTTCGCGTTGGTGTAAGACTTCCATTTGGTGCGAGGCGGCTATGATTTCACTCAGTGGCCGTGTTCTGTGCTGACGCGCGGTGACGGTGTTGATGAAATCATTTTCTCTACAGCTGTGGTCTCGCCTCATGTGGACGGGGGTGCTCGTTTCGCCGTCGGATTCTAGCACCGCCTCCGAGCTTGAGCTTTTCTGCATGCTCTCATTCCTATATTTCTGCTGGACCTGAGGTGTGTTATGACGGGATTCCTCGAGCAGGCGTTCGAGTTCTTCTTTCTGGCGGCCCGAGCTCGTGATGTTGTAGTTCCCGGAGGAAATGCTCCGCACAAGTCTAGACTTCGACAGTCTGTCCCTCAGCGATCTGCGGTGACAGCGATGGAATTATTTGGTTTCCCCCTCTCACTGAATCATGGCTGACAGTCACTTGGCCGGAACTAATCGTTGGGAGACTCACTTATTGTTCGACGCATTATAGGCTGCCAGATAGGCCTTCACGGCATCGATGGAATCGTCGTCTTCATCAGATTGGGCGTTGCGCAAAGTGGAGCATCCCATCAAACTCAGTCTGTTCATCGGGTGGATCTTGAAACTGGCTCTACTACGATCGCCGAATGTCATCTGTTGGGCAAAATTCAGACAACAAGAAGAACTTCCATCTGAGGAACGGAGTGCTGCTCCATCGGAGGTGCGTAATTTCAGGAATGAAACGATGCTCTGCTTAGCGTTGTGAACTCGCTTACCATCGATTGAGATTTCGGTGGGAGACGTGCAACTTTCGAACCAACCATATCATCGATGACTTTATCTGCCCATTTGTGAAGTTCAGGATTGGCTAGAGCCACATGACGACACCGGGGATTCGGCAGGACTCCTTCCGCTTGGATTTTATCCCAAGCGTCCGATGCTGTAACATCGTAAGGTTCCAACACCTTTAGAGCTAGTAAGTATCGTCAAATGCCCCATCAAACGAGTTGCATTTGTCGAAACTATGTCTGGGTTCCCCTGCTCACCGAAGTGATATCTCCACAGGTCATTGCTAGGTTTCCCAGACTTTTCTCCACCAAAAATCCACATGCATTGATTCGCAAACACTGCGGCATGACTGTGCAGCTCGCGGGGGCCAGTTCCTTTCGGCATCTTGATCTTATTCCAATGTTGATTCACTGGAAAAGTCGACTTCGTATTAAGCTGGTTCGAAACACTGATTGACTCTGGGCTACAAGCCTGACTCAAGCGAAGTATTTACCGAAGTCATATCGCCAAAAATCATTCCGTTCTCTCAGATCAGTCATCCCGCCATAGACCCACATGGCACCATCGTGCACAACAGCAGAGTGGTTATGACGCGCTGGAGGTACTTCGCCGCAGGATCCTTTGACTTTCGAAGAAACTAACTGCCAAGTCTCCGTATCTGAAAGAGCGAAGAACCCCGACCTGAATGGTGTACACTTCGGACTCAAGAACTGAGAGTCTGGGGACAAAGACGGCTCGACCTCTCAGATCAATGTTCATCTAGAAGACCGTACCAAAATGGAAGCTCCAGAGTTCGGAAGACGACCCCTTGAGATCCTGATATCCGCCGTAAAGATGCATTGCTCCATTGTACACTACACTGGAGTGACCTCGCCGACCTGACGGCTGCGGTCCTTGAGCGCTGTGTTTCCTCCACACACCAGTCACTGAAAAGCGGCCATTGTGTGTTTCTCAGAAGTTCAGAAGTCGTCGCTGGAATCTCATAAGCTCTTTGACCGAAAGCGAAACGGGAGCTCACGAATATCGAAGAGCCACAAAGGTGTTTCCCCAGTAGACGCGAAGCCTATCTCCCCCCCGAAGACGTAGAGTTTGCTCTTCCATGAAACGACTGTGTGCTCTTGCAGCGACGGCGGAGCTGTCCCTCCTCTCGTCTGAACTTCGGCCCATTGATTCTTGACTGCAAGCGATTGTGAAGACGATCAAATGAGTATTGGCTTTTCAGTAGTCTCCTATGGCCTGCATTCTCTTCGCTGTACCAATCACGATCTCTCGAGACAATCACGGAGAATCACTCGATCTTCGAACATCACATGAGCTCACCTGGGTCGAAACGCCATAGATCCTTCATTGGTAGATTCGCGCTTTTCCCGCCAAGCATGTAGAAAAATCCGTCCTGTCCGACGCACATCGCATGTTTGCTTCTGCTGGTTGGAACGGTATTGCGCGCTCTAGGAGTTCTTTCGCTCTCGCCTCCACCTAGCTGAACCACCGACCACATATTCTCTGCAGAGGAAAAAGACTTCCTAGGAAATTCCGTTGGCTAACGTCACAGCGCGGAACATTGTTGACTCTCTCGAACCTCGAGGTCCCAGGATCGTTACTAGGCGAGGATCGCGGAAGCTCAGGAGGGACCAGCACAGTAGTCTTGGTGAAGCGATTCCCCGGTACCGATGTATATGATGAATGTGAAATCCCGAAAGCATAGATCCGACTTCCGCGGAATCAATCCGAGTTCTGGGCTGTGAGCTGGCTCCTCCCTCCTTGAGCTCCGTGTATTCCGCCATACTCATTCGGGGAAAAAATCCAAACTAATATTGTTGTAAGGAGTTCCCCAAATGTGCGAAATCCCCATTCCAAAACTCGCAGGTTATCCCGAGGCTTCCTCCGCTTATGTGGAACGCACCCGGCAGAGAAGCTCAGCAATCCTGCTCAGTCACGGTAAATTGGTGGCTCGATATAGGGCACTCATTTCGGGTGAACTCTAGCTTGCCCTTCTCATCTATGCACCTCGCGGGTCTCGACGCTCTTATCGAAAATCGCCTAGCACCAACCAGATCTCGGGACTCTCCATCCAAGTGAGGATTGCTTTCCTTCGCGATCGGACAGCACCGATACGGGCAGCCAGTCTGATGAATCCACTTTCTGAGGACGGATTAGACTTCTTCGGCAACCTCACAACAGTACTTCGGAATCGATCTTATCTCCGTCTCGGTGCTCGGATTTTGGGAAGTCCGAGCTTGTAGCCGATCCTGCTCTGTTGCACCGTGTTTTCGAGTGTAGCTTCGCTTCAGGAGCTCAAACGACGGCCGCCATTGCTGTGTATGGTCAGAGGCAGGGAGAGCGAGGGTTGCTCCCCTCCTCATAGCTCGAATCCCCCGAGGGAGAGGGCAGAGGAATCGCTCTCACTATGGAGTCGGGATGCCGCCTCAGCGGCGAGGAGCGCCATCGTTGCCGCCATAGCCACACTCCTCCCCACTGCCATTGGAGAAATCAACTTCCCCTGGCGGGAAGTACGGTACTGATCAGTGGGACTTGGAAGTTGATTCGGCGACCTCTCGTAGAGTCGTGGTCTTGAGAAGTCGATGCCTCCATTACTTTCCGCGATTATCTCACGGTCCTCGAAATCACCCTGTATACAGGCAGATCCTGCGTTCGTCAGTACGGAGGCTCGCTCCAGGGCCTACCAAGGATTTTGGTGAAGGGATGCGGTAAATGGCCGGGGTGCCCGAGTCCGGGACTCAGGCGGTATGGGCGTAGAACGACGCGTCATTGATTAATCCGAGAGTGAACAACGATAAATCATACAATTTCATTCAAGTATTTATATATTCTCAATGAAATTATCTCACTCGTCGATACAATGGTGTAATAAGTGTATAATCGAGCTTCTTCGCACTGAAACTTGACTTCGGCAAGCAAGCTGTCGCGGACACCTTCAGTGTACGCGCGGAAGGAGAGCTTTCGGTAGTTGCGGAAGGAGGCCGCCAGGTTGCGTTCCCGTCGACTCTACTGTCAATAGTCAATGACTTCAGTCGCGCTGTCGGTCTCCACAACTTTAGAGTTGAGCTTTCAGTAATTCAAGAGCGATACGTCTGCGAGCCTTAGAGGGAATAAGTTCAGATGTCGATAATAATAGAACATAATAAAATGATCGATCTGTGTCACTGGGGCAGACAGATCGATGGATGTTCACGCCAGGCGCGCTTCAGAGAGCCACTGAACGACGCGACGTGCCGACGAGGACACGAGCACTTCTTTCTACCATGAGGCCATGCCGAGTCAGGAACCAACCGTTCCCTGCTGACCGCACGAGCGGGCGTTCTAGGAGATAACCATCGGTCAATATTGTAGAGAGTTTCTAGGTGATACAGATCTTCTAAAGTCGACTAAGAGTCTGTCCTCATTGGAGTACGCAACACAAGCAAGCAGACAGACAGACAGGTGCATACATCAAGTCTGTCAGCCAGTCACTTAGTCGGTCTGATAGTCGATCATCCGGGCAGGCAAACAAACAAAGAAACGAACGAAAAAACAAACAGACAATCAAATTTTAGCCAATCAAGTATCGCATATCGGGTCCACCAGCTCTCGGCGATATAATGATACAGTCGGAATCGGGAAAGATCGTTTCGTAGTGAAAGTGTTCCGACCTGTCTCTTCGAAGCGAATCCTTCAACATGGAATCCTATGAGAAGGGGAATCGTGACGAGTCTCTTATGAGCGAGTTTCTGTTATAAGCGAGTTTTCAAGTCTCCAATATGCGATTTTTTTTAACATGGGAGTCTACGGGCTCGGGAACCGGGGAATAGAATCTGTCTCTTATAAGCGCAAGTCTCTTATATGCGTATCTCTTATAAGCGGGTCCGCCTGTACAGGCAATTCTTCAAAACTTGGAATTTTCGAGGATAGAATCTTGAAAAACTCCGCAAGTTATAACTCATCGGAGGGTCGCACTTCGAGTGTCTCAAGGAACGTTTCTTTATCAATTTGAACGTCTTCCTGCGAGAAAAAACAATTTTCATCTCAATTCAAACTATCGAGCGAGCTGGCGGCAGGGATATGCTACTTGGGGAACAAAGAGCGGATATCTAACTGCCTCCTTTCAGTCAGATAATCCGATATGACTACCGCACGATATTTCATTAAAACTCGGTGTCGAAGCTTCAGATTCTAATTCCAAATCGAAAGTGAATATCATGAACTGAGACACTGGGCCTTCTTTGCTGCAAATTGATATGTTCCAATTGAAATCACCACGTAAAATGGTCGCTGAATCTGGGACATTTCGATTCATCGTGAATAATTTTCGATGAGAATCGGAGAAAGACATTATTTGTTTGGACTTGCATCCGGGTGAGAGATAAGCAACGATCGGTCGTGCGGGCCGCTTCCCGAGATGGACATCAGCGAAGCATATGTCCCCGCAATCGGTTGCAAGGAGTCTAGTCATCTTGTATGAGGGATGCGCGACCCTTTCCGGGATCTGTTGCGACGCACAGTGGGGCCAAATCGAATTTTAGGTGGACAAAAGTCCATGAAAATCGATCCCGGATTTTGATCGGTTATGGGTTTGGAAATGTTCGTAAGACTTCGAAAGTCGCGGGGGAACTATGATTACAACATTTTCCGCACCCCCAGCCACCCTGGCACCTGCCAGAAAAAAATGGATTTTTTTTATTTTACGACAATTTTGATGAATTTCTCCCCCCAATCGGTGATTCTCGGAAATGAACATACTTCGTGCCCTCGCATTGGGGAAAAATCATTTTCTGCGCTTAGTTCCCGTCCTGATCTCGCAATTCCACATGATTCCGATCCAGTCAGCCGATTCTGGACTTGCTGGGAAGACTTTTTCGCCGAGACGAAAAAGTTCGGAAATTCGTTAAATTCTCGATGTTAGAAATGCTGTGTCCCCACGTGTCCCCCCTCTGTTTTTGTTTCTTTCGGGGAGTTTCGGACCTCTACTGGCCGCAGAAAAAAAATTGAGGCGCGAAATCCAGCGGTTCTCGAATACTGTCCAGCCAAAGTTGGGATCCGATGTCGTGGATCGGGACCATCCTCATGTAGTTTTTCGAATCCAAATCAGCACCAAGAGATTGACGTCCATATGTCGAAAGCGATTGACGTTTTTTCCGTTCCGAGACGTCGGCGTCGCGTCTAGGCGCGGCGTTGACTCGTCCCCAGAGTTGAGTGAAGAGCGACAATGTTTTCCATTGTCGGAAAAGGTGCTGATTCGGATTCGGATTCGAAAAACTACATGAGAATGGTCCCGATCCACGAGATCAGATCCCAACTTTGGCTGGACAGTATTCGAGAACCGCTGGATTTCGCGTCTCAATTTTTTCCCTGCGGCCAGTAGAGGTCCGAAACTCCCCAAAAGAAAAAAATCAGAGGGGGGACACGTGGGGACACCGCATTTCTGACATCGAGAATTTAACGAATTTCCGAACTTTTTCGTCCCGGCGAAAAAGTCTTCCCAGCAAGTCCAGAATCGGCTGACTCGACCGGAATCATGTGGGATTGCGAGATCAGGATGGGAACTGAGCGCAGAAAATAATTTCCCCCCAATGCGAGGGCACGAAGTATGTTCATTTCCGAGCATCACCGATTGGGGGGAGGAATTCATGAAAATCGTCGTAAAAATAAAACAATCAATTTTATTCTCGCAGGTGCCAGGGTGGCTGGGGGATGCGGAAAATGCGGTAATCATGGTTCCCCCGCAACTTTCAGAGTCTTACGAACATTTTCAAACCCATAACCGATCAAAATTCCGGGATCGATTTCCATGGACTTTTGTCCACCTAAAATTCGATTTGGCCCCACTGTGCGACGGTGAAACAAACCTGAGTTGCAGAATCTTCGGAGAAGAACAGCCTGAAGCGTGATGGAATTCAAGGTCGTTATTGGGGTGAGTAATGAACAAGCCATCAATCGATCGGACTACCGACAAAGCAACATAAACAAGTTGTTGCTGAAGATGGCGACCGTAATCGAACACGACATTGTCATACAATAATTTATGTGTTGTAATTGAGCGAGCCAGGCGGAGTGGGATATTCGAGCGGCTGCTTTTTATAATGCTGGTCTCAGTGATTGAGTATGAGACTCTCCTTCTGTTTAGCGGGGTACAAGATGTTTATAATTCTCCCCTTCAAAGAGTCATGGGTCTGTGTTTTGTTCTCATCAGAGCGCCTATCTGGGCATTGTCAAGGAAATCTAGCCATACACGGTACGGCTGAGGGGGAGACTGAGCACAAGATGAGCTCGACGGTTCGTCATCAAGACTTTCGTCCGCATGTTCCAAGAAGCCAATCGCTCCATTCACCAAGCCATCGTTGACACCGATATTGCAAGGTTCCATGTTGGGCTGATCCAATTCTAAAGGTATATGGTAGAGGAGATTGCCTGTTTCTGCAGAAGTCAACTCAGCATGCAGAAGGGAATCGCGACTCGCTGTCCCTTCCAAAGTCCGAACAATCAAATGTACGACAAAGCGCC